CTGATACGCTCTCTTGTCTCGCTGCTCTCTTCCCTCTTTTCCTTCCGTTTCCCCTCTCCTCTCTTTCTCTCTTTCTCTCTTGCGTGTGTCTTCTCTCCCTCGAGGGAGAAAGGTCATCGGTCTCGAATTCATCTTTTGTCCGCGCCTCTCGTACGGAGTACGGCATTTTCTTTCTTTCGTTGATCTTTCTTTCTCTTTCCTTTCCCTGTTCTCTCACGATGAACTTCTCAGGTTTCCTTTAACGAACGTCCGCGCGAGAAATTTACGAGCGGTTCGCGGAATCGAACGCGTCGCGCCGCGCCGTCGCGCGTCGTATCGACGTCACGCCGCCCGGTGCCGCGACACCGATTTTCGTACATAAATATCGCGGACCCAGCATGAATCAGCGGGAACCTTTTGCAACAGCTGGCTCCCGATAACGTTAACAAGACGCAACGTGCTCTTGCGATAAGAATTGCTAGAACGACTCGAGATTGTTTACCGACAAACATGCATGTGGTAAACATTCTTGTAAATGAAAAGAACGCGTTTGATAAAGTATTTAGAAATTTAATTGAATATATACTGATTTCAAAATAATTTTGTTGACCATCAAAATGATGAAATAGGACAGTTTTGATAAAATATCTAAAAATTTAACTGATTACACAGATCTGAAATTGATGTTGATGGACTATCAAAATAATTATTAGGACAATTTTGCTAAAAATTTGATTGAATTCGTAGATTTGAAATTTTGGATCATCAAAATTATATTATGTTAATAGGATCATATAGATCAGTTTTGCTAGCATCTGAAAATAATTTTGTTAGATCATCAACATAATTATATAGGACAATTTTGCTAGCATCTAAAAATATAATTGGATACATAGATCTGAAAATAATTTTGTTGGATTATCAAAATAATTAAATAGAACAGTTTTGCTAAAGTTTTTATCTAAAAATTTAGCTGAATATAGATCTGAAAATAATGTTATTAAATCATCAAAATAATTATGCAAAACGTTTAAAACTTTAATGATAATTCTGTAAAAAGTTTTGATAATCTAACGATCAGTTTGAGCATCTTACATAATTACTTTGATGGTCTAAATAAAATTATTTATTGATTCATATCAATCTAAAATTTTAGATTCTTTTTTTTTGTTCTTTTGATGTTCATTATGTTCGAAATACAATATCGTAGTAATTGTTATCACTGAGCAAATGCTTCAGAAGGAATATGCAGCGAAGAAAAAGGAAATATCAAACTATCAAACTTTATAATTGATATAATTGATATGAATTAAACGAAGTATTAAAATGGATTACTTTCGAAAATACTAAATTATTTTTGCCCACAGATTCCGTCATTATATCGCTCCTTCTATTAAATTTTGCTAATATTTATTTTTGTTCTCTCACGTTAATGTCTCTAGAATTTATGTCACTGTTTTTAAAACGTCGCTTCATTATTTAAGATGTCAGACGTATCTGAATTTTTTCCAATTTCTTACAATCTCTCTATTGCACATATTTGCTACATTGTACATATTTGTTGCTTGAACCAGATTTCAGAACTGGAAAATATATAACATATTTTTACAAAAGAATGATGTCACCAGAACGAGATTTGTAATACACAAAAATAGCATTTGAATCGAAGATGTTTGTAAAGCGTTCCATAAAGCTGAACCTTCAGATCGCGACGCGCAACGGTCCAATAAATCAACGTAATGTCTCGAATATTCGTAAACGTATTCGATACACGGAGGTATTGATTTACTAGGAAAAAAAAGGAACATATCGCATACACGTAAATTGATCGCTACCGATATCGGTCCCGAGGTCCCACCGTTGGCGAGCGCGAGCGCGATCGTGAAATGAAATTTGTCGCGAGGTAGCCGGAACCGACGGCACGTTCGTTCACGGGAACGTCTGTTGTACACATACGTTTCACGTGCCGGCAGCCTATTTGTTTTGCCGCGCCTGCAATAGTAGCCCACCTCGCGGCACAACGTCATTTCGACAATAACGTCGCGCGATCACGCGATCAAGCTGGACAGAAGGACGCGTAATTTATGCAAAATGCGCGCCGCGTTGGCCGACCGACCGGCCCACAGTTACGTTTGCTTCGTGACCGTCGCTAGTTACGCAATGACAAAACAGCCTTCCAACAACAGTGATTGATTACCGTTACAATTACGATATGTATATATCTAAGAAAAATATTGCCAAATATTAGCCCCACCCTCCTTCTCCTCCTTCGTTTTCTGTAATCAATGGCTGCATTCAGCAGAAAAAGCATACTCAGAAAAAAGTTTCTTTGATTAAAAAAAATTTGTTTGACTCAAAGAAATTTGTGCGTTACTATAAAAAACAATTTGTTTTATTTAAAAGTCATTTCTTAAAATTTAATAAATTTTTCTTTGAACGTAATTTAAACATTACTTCTTTGAAATCAAGTAAATTTTTATTTTCCTCGAAGGTATTTTCACTTTAAAAAGAAAAAAAAGAAACAATTTTTTTCAATTTAAATACTTTTCTCTGAGTACAGCTCTGCAACTGTTATTACAATTTTTTTATATGATTGCACTGAAAGAAGAGATTGGCTGAATATGGCATTTTTAATTGATTGCAGCAGCCAATTTTTGGTTGCGTTAGCCTACCAAAATCCTATATTGACATTGCGGATTGGCTGCTGTACCCAATTAAAAAGGCTATGCCATATTTTACCATCTAATTTGTTGCAGCAGCCAATCTTTTCAGTGTGATCTTGTTTTTCGTTTCTCATGGATCTAAATGTATAAATTAATCATTAAAGAATTTTACAACATTTGCAAAGCTGTTTTCTCTATTGAGCGCGAGATCCATTGTTATCGTGGTAGCACGATGTAATTATTAAAAAATTGATAAAAAATTGTTTTCATGCATAAGCCTCAGTACATATGATTTTTCGGTCCTTTATTACGCACGATGAATTATTCATGTATCGGGTTTTCATTACTTTAACAAATATACACAAATTATTAAGTGATTCTTATGTATACTTTGACGTCTTTAGAAAATAGTTATAAGGTTATAAAAAATGTTTCCTCCTAAAAAAAAATGTACATAAAATGTTAGGACTAGTGATTCTTAATGCTCCCCTGGTTTTTTGAAGAAATGTGCAGGAATTCGAATGATCCAATCGTATACATTAAGGCATAAATATTTGCATTGAGCAAAAAGGTACTAAATTTTAATAGATATTTAATTGAATAAACTAAATATTCACTCACAGTAATAAATACTTAATAAAAAGTAATAATTAAATTGATCAGATAAATATATCTTTACATTAAGAAAATATTTAGTTGGTATTATTTAAACAAATGTTTTATTAAAGTTTAGTAAATTTTTTTCTGTATGTTGAAATTGTTTATGTAGTTAAATTATTTTGTTTATAATCGAATTGAATATACATGTATTTCCTTTTTCTATTTAATCTCTTATTAACACTGTTTAATTAATTCATGAATTCTGTATCTTCATACTATTAAATTCATAATGTCATATTATACATCCGATTTGAATCATTTCTAATTATTTCTATAGCTCATCACTGCTATTGTTCAATATATTGTAGACTTAACTAGAACAATGAAATTAAACAATTTAACTCAAGAAAATGTATTAAATTCGATTGAAATTTAATTTATTATTTACTAAGTGCATACATTTAGTTTATTTTAAAACTAATCATAAAAATGATATAATTTACATTTTAACAATAGGAAAATTAAAAATGACAAAATATTATTATTTATGTTATTTAACTCAAGGAAATGGATTATCATTACTCCTTTGATATCTAATAGCGCATATTAACAACGATTGTTAATTAACTTTTGTTTTCCAATTTTTTCTCGAAGCTCTTTTTATAATGCTGTTTGCGTTAGATTTCGATAAAGGACTATGTTTTAATTATTGTAAAATGCATATTTCGCAATAACATCCGTTCATAAAAATCCTTTATTGGAATTTAATGCACACGGCGCATTTTTTTCGGCTTTTCATTTCCTGTAGCGTTTCTTCGTAACAGAATTGCATTGCATAACACAATTTTTTCCTCTTTGGCGAAAATAGATTTATTTACGTAAAATTAAAATATTAATTGTATGAGAATTAATTGAAATATCTTTGATTGTATATGAAAGACATTTCTATTATTAACCACCATTTTTAATAAATTTAATATATTTAGAAAGAAAGATTCATATCTCAATATTTTTTTTGCAATTGAGTTTCTTTAGATTGCACCTTTCTCGCAATTTGATATTCCGCGCAAGCCTTCGGATTTTTGAACCGCGATACTTTTACGATCAGCACCGTCGATGAAAGTCTTCCTCGTAGTCTCCGACGAGGCTTTACTTAGAGAGTGAGTATGCGAGCAAGCCCTCGGTGATATAAAGGCTGCCTCCTCGTAAGAGCCTCCGAGATTGCGGAGGGCTTCCGTCGCGCCTCGTATAACGCGGAAATCGTTCAAAAGTTAATTTGAAATTTATTCATGGACACTGCGGGGAACCGGAGGTCGAGCATCGTCTGCATATGGGGTGGGCCTAGACCTAACACCCTTCACGAGTACTACGGATTCTTTGACTGATCTGAATTCTCTCTCTCTCTCTCTCTCTCTCTCTCTCTCTCTCACACTCTCTCTTCGCTAAAACAGCTATACATTATTTGTCATAAGTTCCAAAGTTTACAAATAACTCTTCAGTTTACTTTTATGGTCCGATTTCACAATATATGGTTACCAAAAGATTAAAGATAACCAAGAAATTCATGAATGAATTTCATTGATGAATCTGTTGGGAACCTTTAATCTTTAGGTAACTCTGTATTGTGAAAATGGGCCTAACTGATCAAACTTTAAAATAAAATTCTTGCAATAAATCGAAATTGAAGATTTAGAGAGAGAGAGAGAGATTAAATTGAAAAAGGTAAAGTTTTACTATCTATTTGTTTTACTATCTATATTTAGAGTTTAATTCGTAATAATCTTTTAAATTATTTTCAAATATTTTAAAATCATTATAAAAATATTTGACATCTTATTCTCTTCTATAAAAAAAGTTCACTTTAAATTGGTCGAAGAATTCAATGTTGTGGTATGTTAGTCGCTCTCTTTTATTTATATATATTTATGTGTGTATTAGGAAAACTTTTCTCTAGTTGAATTTTTAATAACTTTGAAGGATCACTTTAATCTATATTACATAAGTATAATATCTTATACAAATGGAAATGTATAGTCTATCAAAAATTATACGAATATAACTGGCGTAAAGGAGAGATCGTTCGGTAAATTAACGGCAAGCTTGTGAGATTGGGTGACCTCACGACCGTTTAAAGTTAATTCACAGCGTGTCACATATATGTCACGTGTCACGACTCGCGAGTCACGACTTGTGTTACATGGTGAACAGCATGTCGTAATTCCCGGAAAAAAATTAACATTTGTCATTGATTTACGTCTCTCTTACATTACGAATTTTAATTCGTTAAAATAATATTCTTAAACGGTGAAAATGTTAAATCTCTTTATAATTAGAATAGAAGTCATTCATAAACAAATTATAATGATCTGAATAAAATTCTAATAAAATTCTCGTTTTTCAAAACACACATAACACACACATACGTTAATATATAGTATTTTACATTAAAAGAAATTAAAAGAAAGTTATTTAAAAAAAGTACAATAAAATTTTTTTGTTCCTTTAACATATTTAAAGATCACTTGAAAAATATCTAGTTATAATTAAAATTTTTATTTTCTCACTTTTATTTTGATGCTCGTGGTTGTTTCTCTTTCTTTCTTTTTTTTATTTGCATTAAATTCAGTTTTCCTTTGTGCTCGTCATCTACTTCCTGAGGCAGGTTGCAAAGGCTGGAATTTTTCATGAGCCGACCCGTCGTTCGCGTAGTAATTGCAGAACGAGACGGGTTGCGCTCATCCACTCCCTCCATCCGGTTTTTCATTTGGCTCCTTTTAACGTCGACCTTAAAATAAACTTTGCAGCCCTGCGTGCCATCTTTCCGCGTCGCATTTTTCTTGTCTCTGTCGCCGAAACGTCGGAAACGCTCAGCGACAGATAAATTTGGTTGCCATAACTTGCCAATAAAATATTCACAACAACGATCAAATGGCAAAAAAATAAGCAAATATTTTCTCGATTGAATAGCGTGCCCATATTATATTGCAATTCTTAGAATATAATCAATTCTTGGAACGTAAACTATGAAATTATATAATATGTAATTCGAAAATCTTATATTATACACGTACTAATCTGTATATAAATCAGAAAAAATGTTAGACAGTTGACAAGATAGACATTATGATATCTCTAGTAGCACTTTACTTAAAAATGGGTCCCCAGTCAAGTCATATCTATATGATAATATTGTCGACCTTTTCTATTTTATCTTGCAAGATTCTGTAATATTTTTTCAAGAAGAAATCTTCTTATAGGTCGCAGCGTAAGCCCGAGACTGATGTCGCGATCGACGATGACTGTACGAGCGTGTGAAGTAACGAAATGGCGAGGATGAGCAACCTTTGCTCCCCGAGCGTCGGTATCGAGTCGATCCCTCGCAGGAAGCCCGCGATAACCCGAGGAGGGAGGAAGTATAAGCGCGGGCTGCCAGATGCACTGAGGATCCTTCGGCAGGAAGCAGAAGTCGGCGGGCAGAAAGAGGCGTCATTATAAGGTCGACGTGCAACAACGAAACATTAAAGACGATGGACGAGATACGCGGCTCGTCATCAGGTCGCCGTCTCTCGCAAATTCTCGATCCGATCACGCGGCTCGCCAGCGATTTCGGCTCCAACTCGGCGCCGTGCAGTCCACGACTGGGTGCGCGCGTGCAAGATTCTAGCGGCGGGCCTGCCGCTGCCGGTCAGTCGGGCCCAATCGGCGCCGCAGGTCCAGCCACTGTCGCCGCCGGTGTTTCATCGTCGTCTCGAGCTGGTCCAAGTGGCGCCGGGACGGCTGGCAGCTCCAATTCCGGACCCGATAGCCCGCGATTATGGCCAAGACAATTTCGACAAGCTCCAACGCCTCCACCACGGCCTAGGCATGCCGGTGCCGCCGCCACCACCGTCATCAACACCGCCAGTACCTCCACTAGTGTCTCCACGAATGTCAATAACAACAATAACAACAATAATGCGGGTAGCAGCGTCGACGGCGGCGCGCCGCTGTCGGTGATACATGCGAGAGACTCGCCCTACGTCAACGTGTCGAATCTGTTCTTCCACAGGGATAAGAGCTTCGCCGAGAGTGCCAGAAGTGCCGGCTACATCGAACTTCGTGAAAAGCCCAAATGTAGCCCGTACGACTTCACGTCCGAGTCGAGCGGCCACGTGGAGTATGCGGATAAAAGAACGTTCGTCACTCCAGTTCAGTCCGACCTGGCCTATGATGTCGGAAAGGAACCAGGTAGTCCCCTCTGTCGAGGAAGGTTGAATTACGATCCGGGGCCTTCCAGCGGTAGAAGCCACTTCGACAGGGCGTTCTCGTTTTCCGGCAGGCAACCGTCTGAGCAACTACCGGCATCACGGATATACGAGGCGGGCAGATTGTTTGTTGATTCGAGAGCTACTGGTGGTAACGTCGACCTGAAGAGGGAAAAGCTGGACGTCAGGCCCACTTATAGCACGTCCAAGAGCTTCGACGGGTATACGACGACAGTGGAGGAGCTCAATTGGCAGGAGAGATGTTTGGAGTTACAGCTGGAGTTGCACAGAAGTAGGAGTCAAGCGACCAGGGTGAGGGATATGCTTCGAGAAAAGGTAAGTTTACACTCGTTTTTTTCTGTATGAACTTTTTAGCTGCCTGCAAAATAACTTTTTTGAAATTATCGACATTTTTATTAATGTAGATTTATTGGATCTTGATTTAATTTACTTTTTATTTTTCTCTAGTTTTAAAAATTAGAAAAATGAATTAAACCGAGATTAATCTATATGGTAGAAATGATTTTAAGTAAAATGCAATTACTATATGTTTAACATTTTGGAGTTTAGCTAGAAAATTGTAATATAAAAATATTGAGATCATTAATAGAGTTTAAATAATATATGATTATATGAAATGTATCAAAATCTATTTATTTATTTAAAATATTATTTAATATTATTAAAATATTACTAAAATATTTATGTATTTATTTATTTGAAGTTTATATACGGTAGCTAAAAAGTTAATTGTTATTCTATTTCTAAACAGTGTTAATAAAACTACATTTAAAAGTAAGGCAATGGGTGACAAATTTCAACAAGAAGACGCGATATTATAATAATGATGTAACTTTTAAATAAAATTAAACAAAATTATAATCTTGTTTAATTGCGGCGTGTTAGCCAAGGGTTATTAGTCAACGATTAATAGTTAACGAATAGTTGACGATCTGTCATCCGGAATTTTTCCGATATACGCAAAATACTTTAAACAAATTACGCAGGGCTCAAGTGCGTAGAAGGGTGAATCGAAATATATATCTCAAAGTCTCTATTAGTATGCACGATCACGCGCGCCGATTTAACGCCGTCACCTTAGATAAGGCACATAGACGCATCGCGTTGTTCGGCGTCAGCTTGTTCCTTGTCTTTTCAAAATGTACCGCATCAATCATTTAGTGAAACAAGCACTCGCGGACGACAGTTAGTACCGCTGTTGTTTTTGAAAAAATACATTCCGCTCTGCGTTCTGTGCACGTTGTTCCGCGCATCGGACAATGGCAAGCGTGGGAATTAACGCAGATGTGTTCGGAGAATTCTTTGCATTTTATGCTTGAGAAATTGTGTAAGATTCCATTAATGCACGACATTTAGGGCAGAGACAAAGGAACAAAAAATTCAGAGAAATCGCACGTTATTTCGGAGTTGGAGGAGAGAAGGCTCCCTTTGCGATTCGATTTGATTTCCGGATGTTTCTCTACATCCGGAAAAAACAGTTTTGCTGAAATATTTAAAAATTTAGCTACATATACAGATCTAAAAATAATTTTGGTCAACTGTTAAAATAATTATATAGGACGCTCAAGCTGCGGTTACTAAGAATGTGAATGAAAATTTTTTGCAGCATGCTCATTATGTTTGAATTTTCTGCATAATTGTTTTGATGTCTCAACAAAATTATTTTAAAAAATTTTAAAAATATTTTTTTTTAGATTCTCCATCTAGCTAAATTTTTAGATATTTCAGCAAAATTGTTCTTTACGTGTACGTACAGGTTTGTTCATCCATTCGTTAGAGATGCGGCTTAACGCAAACAAACTGCCTCGCCAAAGAGACGATGAGACATACGTCGGACCGCGACAACGGAATGGACGTGTATGGAGCACACGTTGACGAGAATTCAACGTCAAGCCGGAAATTATACGTCCGCCTCGGCGGACACGCCGTAATATCGCTGACAGGTTTTTTTTTTACGAACTTTTCCACAATACGTACCACCCATCCCCGCACGTTTATCCACCGCGTTACAACGGTCGTTTTTATTTCTCACCGGTAGCAAACAGGATCGAGAGCTAAACGACGAATCGGCAAACCATATCGCGGATCCGTATCGCAATGCGCGGATGGTCCAGATGATATTATCTTTTTCCGCATACTTTTTATAGTTACCGCGCAGAGCAGATTTCACGAACAAAAGCTTACGGTTTTGTATTATTTCTGAAGCTCTGCAGCATGATGTATCGATAAAAGGGATATCCTACAAAAGTTTTTCGTATTTATGGCTATTTAGTTGTATCGTAAAATAATTATAGTTAGGAACTTTATTTTTGTAGTTATTTTTGCTTTGATATTTGAAATAATATAATTATGTTTATAAATAAATAAGAATAAAAGAAATTTTATAGTTATCTTGACACAACTATATATTTCTTTTGATATATAAAACTATAAATGTAATTACAATATATTATTAATATTATAACTAGTGCAGTAATAACTAAAAATGGAATTCCTTACTATAATATTTTATCATGTAATTATAGGCACAATATAAAAAACTTTTCTTTCAATGTGCAATTGGATTTATTTTGCATCTTTTTTATTTTGTATTACTTTTATTTTGTACAATATTTGAAAATAATTTAATGTATAAAATTTATGAAATTACTCTGGAAAAAAATATTTAAATTGAATAGTAATTCGAATGATTACGTCAGAATTCTGATTATAATATTTTCTTAGGAACGAAGTCAAATTAGCCTCTATTTATTTTTTACATTGCACGGCTAGCATGTTCAACCTCGCCGTGTTTCCTCTTGTGGTATAACCTTTCGCTGAAAGCGGATGCTGTTTATATTATCGAAGCGGGGAGCCGCGTGCCCTAAGCGCGTGCAAAATTCAAGACGAAATCCTTGATGTATCTTGGGGCTATCTTTCGCACGGAAGGGATCTCAAACGGATTTACGACTTGAGGCAAGGTTTTCCTACCCTTGTGTGCGATAATCTCATTTTGAATAGTAAACATTTTTGCAATGCAAAGAGGATTTCAAATACGATTATTTGTGAATCGATATAAAATGTTTTTACGTAAATATTTAAAAATAGAGGAAGACTTGGTTGTGTGTGAATAAAAATTTAAGACTTAAATAAAGCTTAGATTCTAAACTTCTAGGTCTAACTTCAACAAAATTTCAAATTTGAAGATAAATTCTGTAGATATATAATATCAGAAATTAAGAAATATTAAGAAATTTGATGCTTTTCTTTTTCTTTCGGAAAGATCGATTAAAATTTACATATTCTATCATTGATCCAATAAAAGTGGAGCATATTAAACAATGTTTGCGTAAAGTCATTAAAATTACACGTGCTCGAGTTTGTTTAATACGAGCTTATCATCTTCATTGTTCGCAACACGTCGCTTATCACTCATCACTTTCCGATGTGCACGTGGTTTTAACGCGATATGCATGAGGGCACATGTACTGTGTTGTATATAACAAGTTGAATAGCGAAAGGAGAATGTGTAGAATCAATTGTGGATTATAAATAACGGCCGCACTGAACTGACCGTGACGTCTCATTATCTAGGCAAACGTACAATACGGTATGCCAACGGGGAAGGGATATTGTTCGAGCGTGCACATTACTCTATTCAATTCCATTTTCGAGCGACGTGTACTAACGGCCATTAAATGTTCCCGATGTACAGTATGTCCCAGATTTAGCCATCCATTCTTCACCCACGAACTCTTCAATCAACTTTCAATCAATCTTCCTTCGAAACGAAAATATCGAGAAGATTTATTATTTCATAAATCTCCGATTTTTTTAACATTAATTTGATCATTATTATTAATTTCAAATTGTAAATTTAATAAAGAGAAATTTTTTTGCTAAATTTGTTTTCATTTTTAAAATTAATTTTCGAAGCTTCTGCTAACAGCTGCAAGTTAAAACAATTGAGGTCTCGATATTTTTTTTAGCAAAAATCATTCATTCAATCATTCATTTGTTCAAGAATATTTAGTAAAAGATGGCCTGGTATATCTGGAACATCCTGTATTATTCTGTATGTAGCTCATATTAATATTGATTTCTCGAGCATGTGGCGTTAATGGAAGTCCTCACGTTAATAGACACACGAGTCTTCGAATGCCGATACGGATTTCAAAGAATATCTATCAACGTCACAATCTTCAAAACAGTCTTTCATCCTTACTTATTCGCGTATAAAAATTTAATTATTTTACCGAGCAAAAACACATTTATTTTAATCCCTAAGGGAGAAAAGCTTTGCACATATTACAGTAAAGTAACGGTATTAATAGTTATGTTATATATAGAATAAATCCTGAAAAATCTGCGTGTTCTCGTAACCTTTTTTTTTAGACAAAACACGCTGTATTGAAAAAAAAGAATCTTCCGTTTTATATATCTTGTAAATTAAAATACGTGTGATATTGAGAGAGAGAGAGAGAGACATGCTTTTCGAATATTCCTATAAATGTGACAATAAAACATCAATGAAATTAAAATACGGCGGAAGAATTGTTTCATGACAATTTCATTACTTTCTCTGGTAATGGAACGTTTAATATGGGCAATCGGTTTGCTATTAAACCGATTAAAAATTTATATTACACATCATCAGTTACCATTTTCCCTTCTCTTTAACCATGCGTTTAGTGATAGCTTCGCGCTGATGAGTTTTCGCGCTCTAACTTAACTTTTTCCCATAAAACCTTCCACCGATTCTTTGTCTTAAAATTTACGCATTACGTACAGTAAATGTAAAAAGTATTCGTACAGAAAAAATATTTTTTAAAAAAATCTTATTTTTTAAAAATAAATATTATCCAGTTAGAAGTGAGTCACCGAATTGATGTCAAATCGATATCGATACATTGATTTCAATATCGATTTGACGTCGATTCGACGTTTTAATTGACAATCATTTCTTGCTGAGTGAGTAACAATTTATTCGTAAAGAATAAAATAAACTGTATGTTTTTTTTAAATTTTATATACCAAAAAAGATTTGTATTAATTATAAAAAATATATCATCTGAAAAATAAGCGAAAATTAAAAATTGTATTGTTTGGATGCTCAAAAAGTATTCATACAGTCGAAAAATTTAGCTTTTAAAATCAAGAATACATGCGAAGTTCGTTTGTTCATGTTAGAACAGAATGTATTCATTGTATTATTCGACAAAGACCCTTTTTTATAAAAAATTTCCTTACGAATACTTTTTGCACTCACTGTATATATGATCGAGAAGAAAAAGATTTCTTTTTTTTTTTCTTTTAAAGACATGTGATCTTGATCG